CACAAAACATGGTTCAGCGTAAACCAAACACTAGACTTGGGATCTGTAAAGCATTTCAGGATCGCTTGACTTTTCTAAATCGACGTATGATAGTTTACATTAGATGGAATCTTTCGATTTTGTGAAATTGACTGAGAATAACGGACTGCCGGCCATTTTGTGTTTTGAAAACCTTGACCGGCAGTCGAGCTGAAAAAATTTCTAAGGCCCGGTTCAGACGCCGCTCCACTCATGTGCCGAACCTAACTGAGGTATTAAGTACGGCAAAAGAGCGGCGTCTGAATCAGTTTGGTACGGCAGTTTTAATTTGGTGCGGCAAAAACGTTAAGTTCGACAGGGTCTGTCGCATTATTCGACATTGGAGCGGCAGGTGATTCATACGGCGTTCTTCTCATGTGCCGAATCAAATACATACATTATGATAATTTATAAATCTTCCCACATGAAATAAAGATTAGGTTCGACACACGGTGCGCCGTCTGAATCAGATGTCGCGCCAATGTCGCTCCAAAGTCGAACCAAACTCAGTTAGGTTCGGCACATGAGTGGAGCGGCGTCTGAACCGGGCGTCACAAAACATCGTTTCCTCCTCTGAGCCCAGCGTAAACCAAACACTAGACTTGACATCTGTAAAACATTTCAGGATCGCTTGACTTTTCTAAATCGACATATGATAGTTTAGATTAGCTGGAATCTTTCGATTTTGTGAAATTTACTAAGAATATAGAACTGCCGGCCATTTAGTATTTTAAAAACCTTGACCGGTTACCGGCCATATAGCCACAGCGTTTTTGTATGGAAGAGTCGTGTTGGCCTGCCTTTGTTGGTCATTTTTTAAGACTATCGCGTAAACGCAGTTTAATTCGGATAAATATGCACAAAACAATTACCTTACGATACTGAAGAGGAAAAGTACTGAACGGTATAGAGCAGTGTTCTTCAAAAGACAATCGCACGAAGTCGCTATGTTGAGACAGCTGAGCCACGAGTTGTAAGTTATATGTGACTAAGGACTGAAGTAAGGGTGCAAAAAAATGGCGTAGACAAAGAACTGGTTTGGATGGTGATTAGTGGCAAAGAATAAATTTTTACAGGCAACTAAAGCGCTCTTATTTGCTTGTTTCAGGCTGTAAAATTATTCTAATTGATGGAGTAACCAGATGCACTACTCCTAGTTTAATTATAAAATGTAGTAAAGTAAACCCCCGGAAGGGGGAGGGGGGAAACTCGATATATCCTTGGGTGGGCAGGTGCAGCCCGGGCCCCTCATACCCTGACCCTGTTTAAGACAAAAATCGCTGATTTTCCTACCCTGTTTAAGACAGGATTCCGATTTTTGATACCCTGTTTAAGACATTTAAC